TCGGCGGGCTGGGGGCTGGGGTCCGGGGCTCCCACTGGACGGCGGGCTCGGGCCTGTGCGCGCACACCCGCCGCGCCCCGCCGCCCGACCAGGTGCAGAGACAGGCTTCAGGAAATCCGTCGGTTTCCAGGGAGATGCAGGGCCTGGCGCTGGCCGTTCTGTGCCCCGCGTCCTCGGAGAGCTGAGCGTTGTGCGCTTTCGTCTTCTCTCTTGCAGAAGTCGGCGCGATGAGGCCTCGGGCACCGCGGGGCGTCCTCCCGGGCGCGCTCGGCCTGGCGCTCTGCTGCCTGTGCGGCGCGCTGGGACCCTGGAGGAGGTGAGGCCCACCCCGCTCTGCGCGCGGCCCCGTGCGCCCTGGGGTCTCTGCCTGCCGCCGGGGCGCGGGGGCGCGCGGGCGGGAACTGCAGGGCGGAGGCGGGTGCCCGGTGGACCGAGCGTGTCCGTGCTCTGAGATTCTCCCCCGGCTCGTGGACGCGCACTGTGTTTGGGGTCGAGTGGCACTGGTGCAGTGGTGGTGGTTCCTGTTTTGAAGTTTCTTCTTCTGGCCCTTCCTCTCCCTCCCCCTTTTCCATCCTTTCTGTCGCAGCTGACGAATTAGGGGTGAACAGGCTGTGTTATAGAGGACTCTCATTTTACTTTTGTAGAAGACACCAAAATTTGAGTACCAAATTTTAATTTTTCTCTTTTATTTTATTTGGGTAATGATCGCGTTCATAGAAGGATTTCATACTTATATAGCACGTGTGGGAAGAAGTGAGTTTTACTTCTTTTTTTTTTTTGCTGAGGAAGATTTGTCCTGAGCTAACATCTGTGCCAGTCTTCCTCTATTTTGTATGTGGGTTGCTGAGGAGTGATGTAGGTCCCGGCTGGGAAGTAACTCGGGCAGCCAAATGGAAGGGTGCCAAACTTAATCACTAGGCCACTGGCCGGCCCCTGGTTTTGCATTTTAATTAAGCTCCATTGCTGTTTTATCATATACTTTAGAAAGTGACATTATTTTTCAGTTTTCCCAGAAAGTGTTTCCTGAAAAAGAGCTACATTCATTCGTTAATTAGTTTTTGCCATCACGTTAAGAGCATATCACGGGAGAGGTATAGTGTGGGGTACTGGCTGAAGACCAGCCGCTAGTTCACATTCAGGTGTGAGACCTTGGAGCTCTCTGTGCTGTAATTGGCTTGTCTGTGAAGTGGAAATAATATTGACCCCTGCCTCCTCAAGGTGACGCAGGGAGAAATCAGTGAATGGACAGAAGGTGCTTAGAACCACACCTGGCCAATAGTAATCAATAAATGTCGGCTTGAGACCATAGGCTGTAATATGTGGCCACTCCCTTCTCTTGTAATTCATGCAGCTGGTGTAGTTGGACGGCCGCCCTGAGCAAGGCCTGGTTTGGGGAACCCAAAGTCGATCGAGGCCCATGAGGTCTTTGCAGGTCAACGGGCATTTTCCCAAGTACTGGCTGGGCTGAGAACTTTGTGATTCTCTTCTCTTCCTCTGCGTAGGGGGCCTTTCGCTTTACAGCACCTTCAGCTTCTCCATTGCTTTGGGGGGTTTCTCTATACTCACATCACTCTTTGGCCTGGATTGTAGGTCGAGAATCCTCATAGTTTTATTGTAAACAGTACACTGATGGTCAAGTCCTGCTGGCCGTTGCTTCACCTTCCAGCCTCAGGTTCCACCTACGTAAAGGAAGGTTTTTGCGCCCAGGGGAAGCTTCTAAAAAGCTTCTAAAACCAGCTGTAATTTTCACACTGCTCTCCATCTCTCTTTCCTTTTATCCCGGGCGCTTGCATCATTAGTTCAGACTTAAAACTCTGTTTTCATAACATTGTGAATCCTATACTTATTCAGCAGGTCTCACTTATCTGCAAAAGCTAACGTGTAAGAACTTAATTCTGCTGTACGCTTGAACCTTCCCTTCTAAAATTTATCCCGAATTAAGTGTCTGCTTGAATTATGTTCCCCTGTTGCTGGTGATGTTTTCTGTCTATAGAGTGAGTATTTTCGCAAGCTGCCCTTTTCGCCCCAGTCTCTTTGCACGCTAAGCCTTGCACACGTGGTTGGGGGCTTCCTGCTGAGAGTTCTGAGTGTGAACACAGCGCTACAATCCCTGATGTGACGGTCTGAGGGTCGGGTGAGTTTCACACGTGCAGGTAACACGGTGCGCGTGCCGCGTTCTGGACGGCGCCCCCGGGCGTCTGAAGGAGCACCTGTCATCAAACGTCACTAGCTCTGCAGAGAACACATGAAGCTTCACAGTGAGCAGGGCGGTGACCACATAGCCTGAGCTAGTCCAGATCATGTTTTGTTGCCAAATGAACTACAGGACAATTCAGTTTTCAGGGCCTGATGGGTTTCACAAGTGCAGCTAAGGGATAAGGGTCTGTGGCTGAACTGGGTGAACATCCTCAGGACGAAGGCGTTTGCTGGCTTCTTCCCTCCCTCCAGGTCTCTACTGCCCGTCAGTGAGGCCTTTGCTTACTGTCTTCCTCTGCTTAGAATTATAATCTGTAATTTCAACTCCCCTCCCCACCCCTGCATGCCTGTCCCCTTTCTTAGGGACATTCTTTATGACTTTTCGCTACATGACACCATCTGTGCTTTCTTACTCACCATGGCCATTGTCTCCCTCACTGGCGTGTGTGCTTCTGGAGGATGGGGACTCATTCCCTCCCTCCCAGCAGCATCCCTGTCCCACCGTAGTGCCTGGCCTGCAACAGGCACTCAGTGCTTCTTGAATGAATGATGGCGTGAATGGATGGACAGGTGAATTTTTCTGTAACTTTACAAAAGTTCTTGAAAAACAAGTTCCTTTGGTTTTCAACAGTGGCGACCACGGATGGAAAAAACTCATTATGGTTCACCACTGGCCTACAACAGTGTGCAAGGTGAGTTTCTCTGCCTCGACTGGCCCCTTTGGTCCAGTGAAACCTGGTGAAGTGTTGGCTTATGTGCCTGTTTCTGCCCCGAGTACCTCTGGCTGACAGAGCCTTCCAGCCTCTCCCTGCCCTGTGAGGTGCTGGTGGCTGGAGCTGCTCCAGCATCGCTGTGCCTTCGAGGCACGACACTGGTCCTCCAGGAGGGCCGTGCGCCAGGTTCCTCGGGTTCGTGACACAGGACCACAAACTGGGTGGCTCAGAGCATCACAAATTCATTCTCTCTCAGTTCTGGAGGCTGGAAGTCTGAAGCCAAGATGTCGGCAGGGTTGGTCCCTTCTGGAAATTTGGAAGGAGAAAGTGTTCCATGTCTCTTCTGAGCTTCTAGTGTTGCCTGCAATCCTTGGCGTGGCTTGTCTTGTAGACACAGCACTCCAGTCTCCGCTGTGTCTTTGCACGGTGGTCCCCATTCTGTGTCTCTCTGTTTCTTATAAGAACCCCAGTGATTGGATGTGGGCCCACCCCGGTCCAGTCTGGCCTTGCCTTCACTTGATGCCTCTGCAAAGACCCTATTCCAGATAAGGTCACATTCAGAGGTCCCGAGGTGAGACTTCAGCATGTCTTTTTGGGGGACACAATTCAGCTCATCATAGGCCCCAACGTGTCTCCTCTCTTGTTATTGGAAATCTTATTAAAACGTCTCCTGTGAGAGGAAGGGAGCTCACGGCCATTCCCTGCTTGCCTTGCTGTGCTCAGTACCTTCGGCCCCCTTCTCCCCTTTGAGTTTGTCTCTGTGGCTCTGTCTCGCCCTGTGTCCCTTGAGCGTGTCATTTACTGAAGTTCTCGTGCGAGCCGAGCTGTCAGCTGGAGGGGGCCTCGCCTTAGCCTGTCCCCCACAAGCCCCGTTTCCGCTCTTCCATCCTGTGGGCGGTTTGTAGAGCTGACCCTAGCACAAGTTGCACAGTTTGAAGGCATTTCCTCATATTCATCATCTAAAAGCTGAGCTATGCCTAATTTTATTGACAGTGTTTCTGAAACTTTGCCTGGAGAATTCTAAATTTTGATGCCTTTCTTTTATCCCTGCGAGATGGAAGTCACCCATAATTGCTGTCTCGTTTGGGCATCTCCTGCCGTGTTAGGAGCACTCAGGCTTTTGTTTCTGCCTCCGGCATTTGGTGACGATGACATTCTTTTCCATTTCCTCGCTGGTTTATCCTTCTGTTGACAAATGAAAATGAAATTTCACTTGTACCCTCGCCAAATCATGCTCTTGATCCGGAAACTCATTTCTAACCGTGCATCTCTTGTGATATTAGACTGCTCACTCTGTTTTTGCTTTTCCAAACTTCATGTGTACTGTCTCTCCCCCCAGTGCCAGTTCTTTGCTCTGGGGGAGAGAGTGGAACACAGCTGCCCGGGACCAGCTGTCAGTGTCGTTGGAGATCCAGTTCTCTCCCTTGCACTCAGGGGTTGCGGGAGCCATTGGGTCATTGGGGAAGGACCTGTGCCTACAGAGCTCATATCTTGGGTAATGCCAGAGACAATGCCTTCAGGGCGTGGGACAAGGTCGACTGGTGGGGGAGGCATTTATATGATGAAATGTGAGTGTGTTCCTGGGCCTTGGCTATAAATATGCATGGAAGTGCATTTCTGCCTTGAGGCTTTAGAAAAGAGATATATTTTTTTAAAAAAACAGCTATACTAGCAAAATGGCATTATTGGGGAATTAACTTCAAACCAGGATAGCCGTGATGAGGGTTCTGTTAGTCTGGTCCAGGTGTCAGCCTGGGCAGCAGGGCACCTCTGGGCTCCTTCCCCACGAGTGATGGGGACATTACAGGTGCGGGGACAAGGCCACTGGCTGCACTAGTCCTCAGTGCTTAGCAGAGCCCCTCAGGCTCACGCCGGGGGCTGATGATGAAAGCAAGCTGCACCTTGGCCTCAGTCCCCCTGCCCCCACCATACAGGCTCGTCCTCCGAGACCCTGGATGTAGAGGTGGCAAAGACCCATCCTTGGGTCCTGGCATTGCTCTTCACCAGCCAGGCACCCCTGGGAAGTGAGCCCCCTGCTTTGGACTGTGGTTTCCTTGGGGGTGAATCTGGGGTGTGGGTGGCAGTGAGGTTATGCCCCTCACTCTGATCCCATGCTTGTCCTCTGCTGTCTGCCATTCTGTGGGTCCCTTTCAGCCCCCTCAGACCCTCCCTAATTTCCAGACCAGCCACAAAAAGACGCTGCCTCCCCTGAAAGGCAATTCAGAGAGGAAAGGCTTGAAAACATGAGCAGACGCCTCTCCTGTTCCTCCTGGACCCGACATCTATTTTTTATTTGCTTTTTCACTGTTGGGGCATGGGCACGAGTTCTGTCTCATCCGGCCTCATCGTGGAGATCTATTCTGGATGGTTGTTTGTTTTGGAAAAACTCTGTTTTAGCTAAGCCATTTGGAGGTCCCCAAAGGGTGTTACACTGGGATTTTTATCTCCATGGGTTGATCTTTATTATTAAGGATATGCTCTTATCCTTACCCTGGAATTTTTTTAATTTTTATTATTTTTTTTGTTGAGGAAGATTAGCCCTGAGCTAACATCCGCCACCAATCTTCCTCTTTTTGCTGAAGAAGACTGGCCCTGAGCTAACATCTGTGCCCATCTTCCTCTACTTTATTTGTGGGATGCCTGCCACAGTGTGGCCTGACAAGCAGTGCATAGGTCCGTGCTCGGGATCGAACCGGTGAACCCCAGGCCACCAACGCAGACTGTGCAAACTTAACCGCTGTGCCACCGGACCAGCTCCCCTTACCCTGGCATTTTTGTTGGCTCCAAATTCTCAGTACTTATTATTTCACTAGTGTGTCTGGTCCTGGTGCCTGAGCAAACTTGAGTTTAGCAGAGTATTATCAGCCTTTTGTTCTCAAATATTGACTTTTGATTATCTGACAAGAAAATTCTGGGCAAATGTGAATGATTCCATCCGCTTGACTTCATTGGAGAGCACATAAAAACAGCAAAAATGAGTTTTTAATTCTGTTATCTAAATTGTTGGAGGATTGTTCCACTCATTTCAGACGCAACATCCTGCCCCCTTGTAGTTTCCTCGTGCGTGTGTTGCTGCAATGAACTTTTTGTAAATTATCATGGAATTTATTTTGTGTTCATGCTGCACGACATCTCGTTGATGTTTGTCTCAAGGAAGGAAGGTTGCAAAATGTATTTAAGTAAACAGTGAACCAATTGCCTGTGTTTTTTCTCCGCAGGAAATTGAAAATGCCTGCAGTGACCCTCCGGATTACTGGACGATACATGGATTATGGCAAGCGCTTAATGCAATTAAACCTTAAACACTCAAGGGAAGCTGGCTAATGAGAAACTCTAGTTTGGTGTGATCCTAATATTTATACTTCCGGTTTTTGTTAGGAGGTTATTTAATAGTGCAGATCCTTGTTTAGAAATATCTTTAGTCTTTCTAACATGACCCCGATTCTGTTGTCATTAGTTCTGTTTTGAGTAACGGTCCAGTTTAAATATGTATTTAGGGATTTTGGGTACATTTTAGGATCACTAAATTTTAATTTTCTCATTCCTCTCTTGGGGCAATAAGCAAATGTATAAAAATAAATAAATGTGTGTATATTACATACATATTGTAGGTATCTATGTTATACACACAGCACAGATACTGAAATTCGTTTTTCTGATTTTGCCTGCATTTTGTGTCCTTTTTTTCTTTTGCTCTTTGTGTGTGTGTTTGTGGCGTTCAACTGTTCACGTCCCTTTCCCCATTAGAGGGATCCGTCTTGTCCCGCTGCTCCCATAAGAGGAGGTGTCATTCTGGCTTTTGCTGGCACACGCATGTTCCTCAGGCACAGGGGTTCCTAGGAAGCCAATTACGCTGGGGCCTGGGGACCGGCCTCTAGTCCCACCTTTGCCCCAGGCTTCTCGGGGACCTCACCACTTTTGTCTCTGGGACCTTGGCTTTCTCGGGTTTTACCGCTGTCCTCTGCTGCTGCATTTCCGAGCTGGGGTGCCAGTGCACAGCGCTGCTTTCGTCCCCTTGGGGGAATTGCTCTGGTTTCAGGTGGCTGGGCCAGCCTTTGACCCTGGAGACATGACTGGGGTGTAGAAGGTAGATTTGGTGACCTCGTGAACTAAGCTGCTTCTGAAGACTGAGGACTGACATGCCCAGAGTTAGATGTGTGAGGACAGACTGACGGTACAGACCAGGGGAGGGTGAACGGGCTTGGTATTTAAAAAACTCATACCAGCTGATCTGAAGGGGTTACTTTCCCAGCACGTCGTGCGTGTGGTCTCATTAACTCTCATCGCCATGGAGAGATGGAAACTTGCCGTTCTCGAGTGGAGATCTGCAGAGGGCAGATAACTTAGAGCCCCAGCTGGGAAACCCCCATCAGACCTGGCTCCAGAGCTCCCCATACTGCGTTCTTTGTTTTGCTTCCTCTTCCAGAAAGTCAGCCTGTTTGTATTATGCCTGAACTATTTGTTTTTGTGTGTGTGAGGAAGATTGGCCCTGAGCTAACATCTGTGTCAGTCTTCCTCTATTTTATGTGGGATGCTCCCACAGCGTGGCTTGATGAGTGGTGTGTAGGTCCGTGCCCGGGATCCGAACCTGCAAAACCTGGGCGCTAAAGCAGAGTGTGCGAACTTAACCACTATGCCACCGAGCTGGCCCTGCCTGCATGTTTTGAACACAACCCTTCCCGCTTTGAAAGAAACCCAAACTGTGACTTCTTGTACCTGAGCATCCTTTATTAAACAATTCCCGTGGCATAAGGAATTCCCGGTTAGAATTTCTCTTCCTTTGTCCTCTGCTGACCTTAGCAGAAGTGTTTTCTTGTGTCATTTGGAACCCATGCCAACCAAGACTAATTTCTCTTTATTTTTTTTTTTTTTTAATTTCAAGGCCTGATAAAAGTGAAGAATGTAACCGGTCGTGGCACTTTAATTTAGAAGAGATCAAGGTATTAACTTTTCATTCCACTCCCACTGCAGAGTCTGGCGCTAGACTCACGCTTGTCTTCGCGGGTGTCTCCTCCAAGTCAGGTTGTAAAGCGAGCAGGTCAGGAATGTGCTCACCAGGATGGAATTCCTGGGGCGTTTTTTTTAGTGTTTATTGAAATCTAAGATAGTCTCACAAATTAAATATGACCACACCTTTCTCCTCCTCTGCGCTGAGCCCAAACCGTGTAAGTGAACCGTGTAAGTGAAGTCAGTCTGAGCCGAGCCGACCCGGCTCTCTCCTGCCAGCCCCGTCAGTGCCCTGTGAGTCCTGTGGGCTGGGCACAGGTTAGGTGTGTCTAGACAGCGCGGGCTTGGAGAAGAGGCCCGTGGTGGCCGTGCTGTCCTTTCCGGTGAGGCTGGGTTAGGTTTCTAAGGAGGGCCCGTGAGCAGGGGAAAGTGAAGGGTTTTTCCGGGACGAAGGCTCACATTACAGAATGACTCATGGCCCTGGAATTTATGAGAGTCTTGGCAGAAGGGATCTTTGGAGGCGCTCCTCCCTCATGTTCACACGCCCACATGTGCGTGCACACACACACACACACACAAACACACATGCAGGCTCACCTTTCCTCGGGGTGCCGACAGCCCCTGTGTGTAACCAGTCCTCCGTCAGGGTAACTAGGACCTGGATTCACAGGGCTGGTGTGCGAGGTCGCCCTGGCCTCCTGGAAACGTGGGGCAGAATCAGGATTTGCTAGAGTTATGGGTCCTCCCCGGTAATCTACGGCCCCAGAAGGACAAGGTGGTTAGTTCCAAACCCATCTCAGGTTCTAGTCCAAATGGAATTATTTCCTCCCTCCTCCTTCCTGTGAGGATGTTCAGGGGTGTGAGCCGGGAGTCCTGGGAGGCTGGGGACCCTCTGTAAGAATTATTAGTACACCCCGAAGTCTGGTGACATCTCTTGTTCCTCAGACCTACTTTCCTCTTCCTGGACTCGCTTCAGCTTCCCCTAATACCACGGGGACATTCCTGGTTAGAATCTTGTGATCCTAAAGGGGAACTAGAGATTAACCTATTCAGTAATGAGGTACTGAGCGCCTATAGCATGCCTGCCACTGTCCTTTATTTCTGGAGCAAGCTTAACTCAATGGATGTTAGGGATCCGGATATTGAAAGTATTGATATGAACGTAGTTCAAGACATTTAATCACACATCATGTGGAATTGGACATTTTTCATTTAACACAAAACTGTCATGATTCCTGTTTTACAAGAAACGGAGGCACCTATAATTCAAGTTCCATTTTCAATTAGTCCGAAAGAGCCTCCTGTTTCTACTCTATAGAATGCAGAAAGTTATCAAATACTTCGCTCGGGGAACTATTCCAGAAGAAGAAAGTTAGTTGTTCGCCCATTTTTACCCTTCCTCAGAGTTTCCGCGGATCTGAGAGTCTCATGACTCATGGCCACCGCTGTTGCCCGGACCTGGCGCCCTGGAAAGAATTAACCTGAGTTAGGGCACATTTCGATTATATTTTTGAGAGATGGCAGATGAGTGCTTTATGATGGTGCATGAATGTTATTTAGTGAAACTTCGTGAATTAATCACGGGTCAAGCTGAGGAAATCTGACACCCGTTGTTTTCTGTGCTAACAGGCAGTAGCATCTGAATTGACAGGTCCTCGGTCAGTCGGAAGGTGGGTGTCAGTTACTTTTAGCATCCATGGGACGGCAGCGAGGCACACCCTGAACGGCCCTGAACATGGAGTCGAGAGCCGGGTTCAGGTGCGGGCTCTGGGATTGCCTGGCGGGGTGGCCTCCCACAGGGGGCCTCGCTAGCCCCTCGGAGGCTCAGTTTCCCCATTTCTAATCTAGCAACAGTACTCTTGCCTTGCAGAGTTGTGAGAACCAAATGAAGAATGTGGAAACATTTTGTAAAACTTTAATTTGCAATAAAATGTAGAGAATTTTTCTCTTGGGGCCAGCCCGTGGTGCAGCGGTTGAGTTCGCACGTTCCACTTTGGCGGCCCTGGGTTCGCCAGTTCAGATCCCAGGTGCGGACATGGCACTGCTTGGCATACCATGCTGTGGCCGGCGTCCCACGTATAAAGTAGAGGAAGATGGGCATGGATGTTAGCTCAGGGCCAGTCTTCCTCAGCAAAAAGAGGAGGATTGGCAGCAGATGTTAGCTCAGGGCTAATCTTTCTCAATAGCAGTATTTCTTTTGAATACAAATTGCCGTTTGTTGGCAGACGTGGTGGGGCTCTGTTGTATTCCAGGCGTCTGTGTGGATGGACCTAGATGCTATCATAACGCTGTGATAATGTGCAGAGGCTGTCACAGGGAAGGGCCCCAGGTGTTCTCAGGAACAATAATTCTGCCTTTTCTTTGCTGGTTGCTTAGAAATGGCTGTGTGGCCTCTCTGTGAAACTCCCCGGCTGTCAAGCATGAGCCCGGCTGAACCCCCAGCGCTATGTGACTTTGTGGGTGCTTGAACGATGGCGTGTTCCTCGTTCTCAGCTTTGATGGGTTGTTAATCGTAGAAGTGAACTGGAATTGCTTAGCAGTGGAAACCTGAAGAGAAGATCAGAGGGCTCTTTGAAGATTGTCCTGTGCCCAGGGGGCCTTGTTTCTGAGCGTGGGGGACTCAAATGATTGCTGTGTTGCAAATAAGGAATTTCATCCTTCTGACTTTGTATAAGAAACAGCGCACGTCCCGCTCATGAAGCTGCTGCACTGGGAAAGAACCTGTGCGCGTCTTTTTACTGTGAATAGGTTTTGTTACTTTTTAACTAGAGATTTTTTTAAAAAACCTTCTTGCAGGAAGCATGAGTGGGAGAAGCATGGGACCTGTGCAGCCCAGTTGGACGTCCTCAATTCCCAGAAGAAATACTTCGGCAAAAGTCTGGATCTGTATAAGGAGCTGTCCCTGAACAGGTAGGGCACCCCTCGTGGTCCGGCCACTCCTCACGGGCGGTTTGTGTGTGTTGCAGCCTCGCCGTCTGCACCTCGACTCTCGAGTTTGACGGTCCCAACCCCAGGGAATCAGCATAGAGCCACACTGCCTGGGGCAGCAGCCCCTGCCTCGTGCACTGTGGACCCTGGTGAACCAGCAGTGGGATTGTTCCTAAGAATACTTGCGTCCCCTGCAGAGCCTTCCCAAATCTCTGTGGGTGATGACCATGCAGAGTGGACGCGAAGACTCAGGCCCCCTCTCTGGACACGGACACATGAGTAAACTGCGTTATCAGGGCAGCTTCTCTAAAGTCTGAATATCGGGAGTCTCTGGATCTTTGTTGCAGTGGTCCTGGGACAAGCAGGAGGAGGTGGTGGACAAAGACCCCTGAACCCTAGAAATTACCCAGACCCATGTCATCCCGCTGCTGCCCACCCCTCGCCTCCGCTCTGGAGACCGGGGGGACAGGTCACTGCTTGTGAACCGCCAAACTCATAAAAACCAATGGAGGGGCCTGCTGAGGACCGGGGCCCCACCTGCTCAGGGCCTGGCCCACCACCAGGGGAGCAGGGGCAAGGCCGGCCTTCCACTGTCTGGATGTTTCTGGTGTGCCAAGTGTGTGAGGAATTCTCACTCTCCTTCATCTGAGGGTCATAATAAACCAGTGAACTAGTATTAAAAACCGTGACAGATCGTACAGCTTGCGTTAGTCAGAGCCAGCCAGAAGACTATCGAGAAGCTTTGCTAATCCATGGTGTTTAAGCTGCATGGATCTAATCTGCTTACAAGATGAACAGGCCTCCCTCGGTTCTCTACACGCGCGCTCCCCTCCCTCAGTGTACAGACGCGTCCACAGGCCACGTGTCGCCCTCCCACACAGATGCCCTCCCGTTTCACTGTGATCAGAAGCAACCAGGGGGCCGGCCCCGTACCCGAGTGGTTAAGTTCACGCGCCCCACTTTGGCAGCGTGGGGTTCGCCGGTTCAGATCCTGGGCATGGACATGACACCACTCATCAAGCCATGCTGAGGAGACATCCCACATGCCCCAACTAGAAGGACCCACAACTAGGATGTACAACTATGTACTGGGGCTTTGGGGGAGAAGAAAAAAAAAAGAGGGAGATTGGCAGCAGATGTTAGCTCAGGGCCAATCTTCCTCATGAAAAAACAAAAACATACTTTAAAAAAAAAACAAAACCGGATCTAATTGGGCCACTTCTTTGCTCAAAACCCCACTCAGAAAAGGGGCTTTAGTCATCTTAAAAAAAAAACAAAAGGGGCTGGCCTGGTGGCACAGTGATTAAGTGCGCACGTTCCACTTCAGAGGCCCGGGGTTCGCCCATTTGGATCCCAGGTGCGGATATTGCACTGCTTGACAAGCCATGCTATGGTAGGCGTCCCACATATAAAGTAGAGGAAGATGGGCATGGATGTTAGCTCAGGGCCAGTCTTTCTCAGCAAGAAGAGGAGGATTGGCAGCAGATGTTAGCTCAGGGCTAATCTTCCTCAAAAAAAAAAAGAAAAGAAAAAAAGGAAAAAGCAGTCCAACAGCTGGGATTAGATGGGGTGGGTCACATGCCAGAACAGGAGGGGCGAGCACCTTTGGGGACCAAGATTACGTGAAGAACACCCTGCAAATAAGGGTTACAGTCATCGGCTCACAGAGGTCATGCTTTCAAGTGTGCCTTTAACCCCACTTCTGACACTAACCAGTTGTCCAGTTTGGGTACCCGCCTCTTTGGGTCTTATTTCCCAGCTGTAGGATGAAGGGAGGGGTTTCCCTCAGCCTCTGAAGTCTCTTCTGGAAATCTGCAGAACTGGGCACCTACGCCAAGGAGGAGACGTGAACAGCAGCGTGTTCCGCATCCTGTGTGACGTGATTATCTGCAGGTTTTCTTGCAGTAAGAGCAAGGCCTTTGGAAACATTTCCTCAACCAAAAAATGTAGATAAGACCCACTTCAAAAATCCTCAAGAGAATTAACTGAGAGAATGGCTGTAGCACAGCTCCTGGGGCCAGGAGCGGTGCCGTGGAAGAGAAGCAAGACTGGCGGGACAGCATCCACGTGGGAGCCTTCGGAAGACAGGAAAGATGCCCTCTATTTCCAGATAAGACCTCACGGTGCTGAAGCTGCCACAAGCTATGAGTGTTGTGAGGTCGGGCTAACTCGACAGCCCAGCTTTTGTTGAATCAAACAGGAAAAGGAGCATAAATGATGCTGTTGGCACTTTTTAAATAAAATATCTAAACAATTCATCCCTTTCTCCCACAACTGCTTATTAAGTACCTCCTGTTTACACTTTTTGAATCTCAGTAGCTTTATGTATATACACACGTGCAAAGTCATCGCATCCCACCATTGCTGGAGTCTCAGCTGGCCCTTGTGATCGATGGGCGCTGATTCTCTTAGTGGTCCAGGCTGGTAAATGTTTACCGAGCCTGCGGGTGAGAGCACTGCTGGCAATAGGATGTTTGTTAGAAACTCTGTAGAACGATTATAGAGCGATTACCTTCTTTCCCGTTTTCCCCAAGGAAAATCTAAAATCTTAGGACTCACCAAATTGAACTTAAGAAGTCAAAACTTGAAATCCCTTGTATTTTTTCTCCGTATTGTAAACCATTACTGCAGGTTCTCTTTTTCCTTAAGCCTGTCCAATGAGCATAAACTAGCAGGCTGTTACTCACTTTATGATATGAAGGTGGCAAATCCCCCCAAAAAATGCAGACCATCTTGAACCAAAGTTCTCGGATTACCCACAGATGTGGGGATTAATGCCAAACTCATCTTAACTCAGTAGAAAATGGTGTAGACTCTGTTCTGGGCCAGATGTCAAGTCTCCCCACAGGTGTCTCTCCCTCCCTCCCTCTCTCTCTGCCTAATTTCCTTGATGACCTAACTCAGGAGGGCCCTAAAGCAGCCCTGCCCCATAGAAACAGAACACAAGCCACATGCGTGATTTTAAATTTTCTAGTAGCCTCATTAAAAAGAGCAAAAAGAGACAGACTAGTTACCTAATATATTTTGTGCAATCCAATGTATCCAAAATCTTATTGTTGTAAAAAATTATGGAGAAATTTTGCATTTGGAGGGCCCAGAGCGAGCCTTTGAAATCTGGCCTTCCTCCTGCGCTGACGGCACAAGGGCAGGCGACGGGCAAGTTTATCTCTAGGGTTTTGGGGACCTTGCCCGCTGCCACCTCCTGCGTGGTCCAGGAGCATCAGCAAAGATCCGGACACTCCTGACGTTGGGTGTTCATAACGCAATACGCCTTTGTCAGAAATGGGGGCTGGAGGAGGCTCGTCCTGCTCGGAGCCGTGTTTTCCTCCGGCCAACTCACATCTGATGATGTCAGGGCCCCCAGAGGTGGCCTGAGTCTGCGCGTTCCCTCTGATGGGTTGTAACCCGGATAATTCAGAGAGCTGTGATGGGGGCTACAGGGCATATTTTTGGAATTATCAATCTGAGAAATTTCATATCGTATTCCATAATTTAATAAGTAAGGTCATCACATGGTACTTTGATTAGGATTCATTATTGTTGGTTAAAACCATGCGCTGTAGGTGTCGAATGTATTTAAAGATTTGACCAAGTGCAGTTTCTTAGGATAAGGCTAGAATCCAAAATCCATTGCTGACTATCTTTTAGGATAGACGTGGCATACACGTGGCATTGTGTGTGCCAACTCCGGCTGGTAGTGGCCGTCTGGACACGTTGAGAAGGCTCCAGATGCTGGAAGGAGAACGTGGGTCAGCAGTGTGCGCTGAGGGTGAGGGGAGGTCGGGACGGCCTCCGTGCCACTTATTGGCTGTCTTTGTTAACTGCTTGATTGCCCAAAATAATAGAAAATAAGCACTGTCCTTTAAGAGCATCTTGATTTTTACTGTGAAATATGATGTTCTAGAACAAGAAAGGAAAATGGACCTTCATTATACAGCTAATTTTTTTCCCTTTAAATTTCAGTATGCTCCAAAAATTGGGGATAAAACCGTCTATCAATTACTACCAGGTGAGTGTTGCTTTCAGCCTCTTGTCAGATGTGTGTGTGCTGAGGACACCCAGCAGCATCAGTGTCACTTCACCCGTGAGCCACAGTTGGGTTCTAAAAGACCCAAACCAGCCACGCTCCTACTTGGCTATGTTTCTAAATAGATTTATTTAAGTTTTGTTTCCCTGTGCATATTGAGTATAAACTGAAGGCCACTTAAACCAATGACTTTGAAGCCCAGAGTCATGGTCCTTGTGGAGAAGTGTGTTCCAGGCTTGGACAGGGAAGGTGGAATATGCAGTTTGAAAAGTATATTCAGTTTTATAATATTTTGTTTGAGGAAGAAACATACAATTTGTTTGTTTTTGTTTTCATGATCAAAGTATAGAAATTTAGGCACGACCAGATCTTTCTGGCTGGTAAGCATATGTAAAAGGTCATTGTGTTCAAGCCACACCCACTCGTGTCACTGGTGGTTGTCCCACAGAGAGAGTGCGTGACCCCCCGAGAGCTGAAAGTATTTATCTTTGGCCCTTTACAGAGTAAGTTTGCTGGCTCTCACTTTAGAGAAACGTATCGAACTCTTTGAGAGAGTTTTTATATTTATTATAGGTATGGATTGAAAAAAGGTTTGAAGTCACTGATCTTAGCAGTTCCGAGGTTCCGGTCTCGTGGCTGGACACTGAACTGCTATTTCGGTCTCTCGTCAGTCTGTAGGATCAATGGCTCTCCCGTTTTTGCTCTCTGTGATGGGTATGCTGTGGCTCTGCGGCCGGTTTCCAGCTGATCCGTTTTCTTCCTGCCTGGAGAGCAGGGAGGGAGGGAGCAGTGACCTTGGTGAGGGGGTCAGTTCACCATCTTCCAGGAACCCGAGAGAAAGTGTGTTTGCAGGGCCCCTCCGGTCCTCGTCTGGTTTCCTGGTAGGGAAATGTATTTCACATTTTTGCCCAGAACTTGTTCAGAGAACTGGTTTCATTTATAATAAAGGCAATGATGAGCACCAATGTTCTCTGAGCTCCTTCTCTGTGCTGGGGGCCCTTGTTAGGGATCTGAATAGCATGACGCCTTGCTCAGACGGAGGTCCCCACCTATGCAAGTGGGTTTGATTGACTGTCTGGAGATTTCCTGCTTTTGCATCCAGCATCCAGGTGCTGGGTGTAGACAGAAGCGGGCAGAGAGGAGAACGGAAACCGTGTGGAGCAATGGGGGTGCCATTATGGTCTGGTCGGTGGAGGCTGAGGGGGCAACATCCCCAGCGGGGGCTTCTTTCTGGAGCATCTTCGAGTCCTGCGTGTGAGCCCGGCAGCGCTCAGGGAAGCGATTACACTGTTGTCAGCTGTGTGAGAGCGTAGACCAGCGTGTCAGGTCTGAATAGAACAGAACTGTTAAGTTGACTCTGTTGAAGTTTCATTTCTAATGCACTATTTAATTTCAGATTTCAGATATTAAAGATGCCCTCGCCAGTGTCTACGGAGTCATACCGAAAGTCCAGTGTCTTCCGCCAAGACAGGTCAGATGTGCTATGTTGTGTCGGTCTTTCTGTCTTTATCGGGAAGACAAATTCAACTCTGCCAACAGCTTTTTTCTCGCCAGGAGTTCCCAGGGTCGGAGTTGTGTGTGGGTGTGCATGTGTGTATGCATGCGTGGGTGTGCATACAGCACGTGTTGTGTGTGCGCAGGCCTGTGCGCATGTATTGAAATAACAGACTGCTCTTTGACATCAAGCTACGATGGGGTTTCTTTTCTTGACACTTAACCCTAACGAGAAGGTGCCTATTCTGGAAGGGAGGGTGGAGAAGGGAGCAGAAGGGAGTGTGGGTGTGTTCCTATCATTAAACATTTCTAAATTAGAAAATTTCTAAGTGTTTACAGTGTTAGTAATTTTAGTTGTAGTTGTCTGTCCACTTTATAGGTGAATTATAGTTTCTTTCATCAGCTGCGATACTGTGATTTATAAGAAATACATATTTGGTCATTCAGGTGACCAAAATATGTTTTTCATATATATTTGGTCTTTGTCTTCAGTTCCTTTCTTGCAGCTCCCAAAGCATTCTGAATTTCCCAAGTGTTGAGCGACAGAGGTGTCTTTTGTTATGTAAATGAGGTGACTTTTTGGGGCTGGTTGAAGTCAACCATGTGATGGAGGGTTGGAACTTCCAGTCTCACCCCTGACCTCTGGAGCAGGCAGAGGGCTGGAGGTTGAGTTCAATCACCAATGGCCAATGAGTTAATCAGTCGTGTCTTTGTAATGAAGCCTCTATAAAAACCCAAAAGGATGGGGTTCAGAGAGCGTCCGGGTTGGTGAACACGTGGATGTTTGGGGAGAGTGTCATGCTCAGAGAACATGGAAGCTCCGTGCCCTGTCCCCATACCTTGCCCTGCACATCTCTTCCATCTGGCCATTCCTGAGTTGCATCCTTTATAATAAAGGATAAAGGTGATGTAGTGAGTAAAATGTTTCTCTGAGTTCTGTGAGCTGCTCTAGCAAATCCATCTAACAGGGGCAAGAGGTCGTGGGAACCTCTGATCTACAGCCAGTCGGTCAAAAGTGCAGGTGGCAACCTGGGCTTGCCGTTGGCATCTGAAGTGGGGTGGGGGACAGTCTCATAGGACCGAACCCTCAACCTGTGGAATCTGATGCTGGCTCCAGGTAGACAGTGTCAGAATCGAGTTGAATTCAGGACACCCAGCTGGTGTCTGAGAATTGCTTGCTGGTGTGGGGAAGCCTAGACACACACACACACACACACACACACGTTGGAATAGAGTCCAGGAACCCTTTTATGAGCTGATAAAGACTTAAATTTGTTTAGCAATTCTGTTGACCTATTTATCTGCAAAAGCCATTTCTTCCCCTGATACTGTGATACATGTGCTATGTGCACACCTGTGCCAAGGCTGGACCCCCGGCACACCTGTGTCTGCATGTATCTGTGTGAGTGTGTAAATTTATAAGACGGAAACACCTCCCTTCACACATGGCTGCCAGGCTGGCGCAGGGAGGCATCTGGGTGTTGACTTGGAGCCTCCAGCCTCAGCCTGAGCCCACTGCCCACAGCCGGTCACTTCGGGCCCCTGGCCCCAGTTCAGCATTAGAGGAGGGGCTTGTTCTGGAGCCTGGAATCCTAGGTCTGGAGACGCTTCTTTTATTTTCTTCAAATTCTAAACCTTGATGATCCTAGATGATCCTTGATGATCCATGATGATAATTCAAGATCTGAGTTCTAGAACGTCTCTCGTTTTACATTTTAGGGTGAGGAGGTGCAAACCATCGGACAGATAGAGCTGTGCCTCACCAAGGACCTGCAGCTGCGAAACTGTACGGAGCACGGGGAGCCGCGGTCCCGCAGGTGGGGGGACGCCTGGCCGGCCAGGGCCACCGCCGAGGGCCCAGGGCTGGAGGTCTGTGAGGACGGCCCCGCCTTTTACCCCCCACCCAAAGAGACCAATCACTGATGCGTGAATTTTGGAAATATTCTGTGTTTTGAAAAGCAAGTGAAATCCACACACCACTGCTTTTTAAGAAGCATCTTTCAAGTGAAATCTCACCCCTTTTGGGGGCAGCTTCCTTTAATGTAAGCCTGTCAGTTTTGCTTTTCACTTTGTGTCTGTGAGTTGATTTTTGTGGCACATGTAAAGGGGGATGAGCATCGGGTGCATTGAAAGGAAGAAAAGCTCCCACGCCCGAGTAGCTGCTTTGTAGTTGGAATAAAGCGCACGGTTTTCCCTTTTTTCTCCTTTATTAAGCTCTTTGGCATCTTAGACCAGGCAGGCGCCCTTGGGGTTTCAGCAAGCAGTACAGATTCAGGAAGTTCTGGCCTGCGTCCCCCTCAGAGCGGCTGCTGTCTTGGCCTGGGGGTCGCGCTGGGAGCTGATCTCACGGGGAGCCAGGCCAACGTGGGGACGGTGGCAGGCATCTCCACCTCCCACCTCAGGGTTGATGGTTCTTGTTCCACGAGGGCCCCAGAACACGTTCACCTGCCAGCATCTCCCTCGGTGGCCTGGCGTGGGCATAGGTGTGTCCCCTGCAGGCCCCGGTGCTGGTGGCAGGCGAGATGCTCTGAGAAAGGGCTGTGAGTATCTTCTCTCTTCCTGCCAGAGGAAATCTGGGTGCATTTACTCAGTGCCTGGCAGCTGCCCCGGCTGGTCCGTGGGAGCTCTGAATGCAAATTAAAACCTGCACGTCGGTTTAGGTCAGGTCTCAATTCCTTTCTATGGGAAGGTAGCTCGGGACCTGGGAAAGATTCGGGCCATCAATAAATCAGTACTTAGGAATACTGTGATTAAATGCAGCCCCTGGTGCCATGTTCCACCCTCAGATCCACGCTCTCTTTCCTTGTGACGACAGACAACATGGTTTCTCTTGCCAGTGGTGGGAGAGCGCCAGGCTCAGGTGGGCGGCTGCAGCCTTACCTGCTGTCTGGGACTTGGTTTGTAAAATGAGGTTTACATTTTCACATTTCACCTAATAGTTTGTGAAATGACTTCCCGTGCTTTATTAAAACTACTTTACCATTATTTCTTCCTGGTCTCTGCCCTGTTTTAATGTTTCTAGCTGTGTGGGTTAAAATGTGACCCATCTACGTGTCTTAATCAGGTTGATAGTGTCCTATTTGTTTTATTTAACAAACACTTAAAAATAGAACTTTCTATTTGCCAGGGATGGGTTGAGCACTTTAAAAGATTAGCTTACTTTAATCCTAAGAACAGCCATATTTTCAAAATAATCCTATCTTTAAAAAAAAAAAGAAAAGAAATTGGATGACTGTGAAAGGTGAGACTGTGAGGAATGAAGTTTCCTTTTTCAGTTTTTAGGATAATTGTTAGTGATGGGCTCCAGGTGGGCCACCCCAGAATGGGCCTCTTTGGTGTGTGGAAGATTTCAAGCTGAAGACAGTCAAGCCCTAGTAGACTCAGGGAGGAGCTTGTTACGTCTCCCTTAACTGTCTAAAAGAACTTAGATGGGAGCCTGGACCAGGAAGAAATCTTTTATCAGAGAGAACTTTTTACATCTGAGAGACTTCTATGCACGGCATGGCAAGCATTTGTTTACCTAACATTTTCACCTCCCATTGCCCCGTGAATTGTCTTCCTTCCTTTGAAGACCCAGACCCCTACCCCCTTTTCCTTAGCTCAGGAGGGGCATATAAGCCTCAGTTGCCTGACATGATGCCTCAGATCTTTGGGGTTCCCGTACATGCAAAATTAAATTTGTTTTTTCCCCTCCTGTTAATCTGTCTTATGTCAATTTAATTATCAGGCCAGACAAAGAACCTAGAAAGGAAGAAGGGAAAAGGTTTCCTCCCGACATTAGCTAACGAGTAGGTATGACTGACTCCAATAGCATAAAGATGAAAGAAAAATGCTGAATTTCTCATCAGAGGAAATCCTAATTTTGCTTTCCTGCAGGGTGACTCTCTAAGCCTTTTTGTGTGTTCCTGGGGCTGCCATAACAAATCACCACAAAGGGTGCTTAAAACAGCAGAAATTTGTTCTCTCACCATTCTGGAGTTCCTGCAGTCAGATCAAGGTGTGGGCAGGGCCGCGGCTCCCTCTGAAGGCTCCAGGGGAGAGTCCTTCATTGTCCCTTGCAGCTTCTGGAGATCCTCAGCTTGTAGATGCATCGCTCTGTCTATGCAGATAACCTATAACCATGCTACAGATGAGGAAAACAAGGTGACCTTAACTTGAGCCGAGCTTGATGACTATAATTGGGGACCAATAGCCGCTCTACAGATAAGAGAGAGAAGGTGAACTTTCCCAGAGCCGAGCCGAGGATTATAACCTGGGAAGACAGTTTCCACAAAGGAAGAAAGCATTCCAGAGAAGCATGGTTTTCAATACAGTTTTATACCTTTTTAGAACAAAGAACATACATTAAACACGCCCAGGATAAAATTCATCAAAGTTTCAAAGAGGGGTTCAATAGCAGATTAGCACGTCAACATGACCCTGAGGTCCAGGAAAGGATCTTACCTTCAGGAGCACTAACGGGCATTACCGATCCTGGTGAGCTACTGGTGGCTGTAGGAGGGGAAGTCTGCATTCTTATCTTCAAAGAGTGCATTCTTGTACTTTGAGATAACGTTTAAAGCACTCTCTAATGGCTAAAGCAGCTATACAGTGTATGTTTGATAAGCCACAACTCAGGCTTTTTAGTTCAGGCTGAATCAGTTTTGAACCAGAATAGCTACCCCATACACTTCAAGATATAAGAATCTCTTCTCAACTCAAATCTCTGCCTCCATCATCCCATGGCTTCTCCCTCCGTGTTTGTCTGTCTCGGTACCTAAATCTCCCTCTTCTTTCTCTTAAAAGGACACTAGTCCTATTGGATTAGGACCCACCCTAACGACCTCATTTTAACTTGATTATATCTGCCAAGACTTGATTTCCAACTAAGGTCCTGGGGTTGGGATGTGCACTTGTGTATGGAGGACACAATTCACGCATGACACCTACCAACAGGCAAGACCCATTGGCTGCTTGTCTTTGTGTTGATCCATCTTTACTGCTCATGATGTCTGATTGCCCCAAAGAGGAGCCCACGGACAACTTATCCTCGTAAGAAAATAAGGAACCTGGCAATCATTGAAGGAGGAGATCGTCGAAGAATCTCAACACAGGTGAAACCCATGCAATAAAGTTGGCTTTACTTGGTTGGGGTTGAAGGGATGTTTTGAACAAGATGAAAGTTATTCTTGGTAACTTTTGCCTTTCTGATAATGCACAAGAAATAAAATGAGATAAGACCTAATACATTCTTGACAGTTACATTGAGGATGTGTGTAGTTCGGTTACAGCCACCTGGAACTTCAGGTGAGCTCTGATAGATGCATAAAGAAACTTCTGGGAGAAAGAGAAGGGAGCAAATAGCCTAATGCTAGCAATGGAAGGTCGGGGAGGACGGAATGGTTGACAAGGGCCAGGAAGGTTAGTTCTGTGGAGAAGTTTTACTAGGATGTGTTTCACCGGATCATTCGGGATCGGTGTCTCCTGGTACCCACCAGGTCCTTTCAAATATGTAGATTTACATCGTTTACCTCTGGAATGTTTTCCAGGATGATAGTTTTAAATGTTAGTTCTGTTACGTCGTTATAATTTTCTTCTTTAGGGACACCAATTATACACACTGTGAAGGAGATACAACTTCCCTGAGGACCAAAATGAATTTTTAACAAAGCAAGGACACAGCAGAGGGGAAACAGCAAACGTAACATAGGCACACAGTAAGTGTAACCTGATCTAAATGACAGGATTGAGACCAAACGTAGCAGCCACATAAATATGTGTGAATGGGCTTCACTGGCCCGTTTAAAAAGAAGAGATTTTCAAATTGGCTCAAAAGCAAAACCTTACTCCACGGTGCATAAAAGAGACATGCCAGAAATGCAGTGATCAAAAAGGCAGAAAATACAGAGAGGGACCGAGATTGACCAGGTGGATGGGGACATTAGGAAAGCAGGTGTTGCAATCCTGACGCCACACTCAGTGGAATACAAGTCTCCCCACGGCAGTCAAGGAGGCGCAGGAGGGTGCTTGATAACGTGTACAAATGAGCACTGGTTTCCTGAGACAAAGATGCTACATGATAAGTGGCAGCATCCTTCAGATGGATCATCAAGCGACAGTATCAGGACGTTGATCAAAAGCGGTGCCTTTATTATTTTTTTTTTCTGTAACAGAGCAAGGAACTCAGCCCTGCGTCCCGTGTGCTGGGGGTGGGGGCCAAGTCCAGCCTTTTAGGAAGGCAGCTGTCAGGGTGGCCTCAGGGACCTTGTCCCCTCGTCCTTTTCTGAGCTCACTGCAGCTGTATGACCCCCACCTCTGTTTCCTGTGTTTTCTCCTGGTTTGCCGGCCCACAGTGCGTTTGTTCCTCTTCTGCTCTGATCATCTGTGTTCGGCTGTTAGAAAAGGGAAGAGGTGACAACATAAATAAGGGACTTTATCCTGTCTAAACTGGCACGATGTCCCCATTACCTTGTTGCCCTCTGCAGTGTCCTTGCTCAACGTGGAACCTTTATACCTCGGAGTCATTGAAAAGACGGCTGTTGTTTCTCTTGAGTCGTTCTGCAAACACATGGCTCAAGGCCAGTGTTGCAACTTCGTTATTCCCAGACGAGCTGGTGGATTTAAACAAACTTAATGTTTGGGTTGCATTTATGTTCCAGCCCTGGAGAACAGGGAGCGTGTCTGGTGGTGTCCTCAGACACTGGTCTGTCTAAAGCTACCTTCTTGGTTTTTAATTAGCTATTATTTTTTTAAATGAGATATATTTATTATGATACTAGTCTGAGCATTTCTTGAGGGCAGACGGGGACTTGGGATGGCGTGATGGTGAGAGGAGCGGTGTGGAGTGAAACGTGGATACATAAAATGGCGATGATCATGCTGGTTCCAGAGCTGTTAAGTGGACTAAATGGAACAGAACACACGAGAAGGCCTAGTGGTTCATGACACGAGCTTTGCTCAGTGAATGCCTGTGACGTCTTATTAATCGGCAGGGGTGCTCCAGGCCCAGGGCAGCCCACCAGGGAGTGCTGATGACTCAGAAAAGGGGACATCGTTTTTCCTGGGAGCATCTCGGGAAAGAGGACCCTTGACCTAGACCGAGACAGAAGTGTGCAAACCGTGGAAAGACACTGAACCGAAAGTGAGAAAAGAGACACCAAGAAAGCCTTTGAGACCACCAGCCCCTGTCAGCAGCAGTGCCACTTGATGCCTGCTCTGTGTCCTTAGAAGGTGGCTGGCTCCCGGCAGGGTGCATATCCAGCCCGACGGCAGGACATCACAGAGAAGCAGAGCCTCCCATCCAGCTACCAACCTGTGACCATCGTGACCGATGATCATCGTCACTAGCAGTTGTATCGCCTTCGACACTGGGGACTTATCTTCTCATGGAAACCTCTTCCCGCTCTGTCTCAGTCACTGACATCCTCGCCCCTCTCTTATTACACGTGGATCCTCGAGGTTGACTTGGAACTTCTCCTCTTCTTCATTCCATTTTCCCTCAATCACGAAAAGTATTTCCTAATGATATGCATTTTCTCCTTTCCATTACTGACTTAGTTCAGAGCCTCAGAGTTTCTCACGTGGACGGTGCGTTGACCCCAGACCAATCTCTTGTCACACTGCGCATCAGCGCCTGTGTTTCCATTGCTCTCCTGACCTCAGCCGTTGCTTCTCTGCCGTAGGATCAGCCCTCCAGTCCTGAGAAGGCTCTGGATAGGAAGCTGCTGTCCGCTTATCTCCGTGCCCAGAAAACGGACGCACATGAATCGTCGAATTATCTGTCTGTCTTCTCTCGCTGTGGTATTTTTGTGAACTCTGGATCAAGAACACAAAGATTTTAATCCAGGTCCTCAGGCCATTGGAAATTGTACTGTAAATATTTTCTCCAAATTCAACTCTGTTGGCTGTATCCGTGCCTGCAGAGGGCTGAAAGCACTCAGGGGAAGTTAAGAAAGCTGGTTTCCTCACAAGATCTGGTTCATGAAATGAAATTGGTGGGACACAAT